AAACACTACCAATGCCAGGTCCTCTAAGACGGAGAGTTACGTCGACAACAAGCGCCGGGACGACATCCGACAGGCCAACATCCTCGCTGCCCGCGCCGTGGCTGATGCTGTGCGAACGAGCCTCGGTCCAAAGGGCATGGACAAGATGATTTCCTCAGCCAACGGGGAGGTCATCATTACCAACGACGGCGCCACCATCCTTAACAAGATGGAGGTTCTCCAGCCTGCCGCCAAAATGCTGGTCGACCTATCTCGATCCCAGGATGCCGCTGCTGGTGACGGCACCACTACCGTTGTCGTTCTTGCTGGCTCCCTTCTCCGTCGATCCCTCTCCCTCCTCTCCGCCGGCATACACCCTACTGTCATCTCCGACTCCCTTTACAAACTTTCCGTTCGTGCAGTTGACGTCCTGCACTCCATGGCTATCCCCCTAGAGCTCTCCGATCGCGATTCACTTGTCAAGTCCGCCGCTACCTCCTTAAATAGCAAGGTTGTGAGCCAGTACTCCTCCCTCCTTGCCCCTCTTGCAGTCGATGCCGTTCTTTCCGTTGTTGATCCTGAACATCCTGACCTCGTTGACCTCCGTGACATTAAGATCGTCAAGAAGCTAGGAGGCACTGTTGACGACACGGAGCTCATCCATGGCCTTGTCTTCGATAAGAAGGTAAGCCACACGGCCGGGTGCCCCACTCGCGTTGAGAACGCTAAGATTGCAGTAATCCAGTTCCAGATTTCGCCGCCAAAAACGGACATCGAGCAGAGCATCATCGTCTCTGACTACACCCAGATGGATCGGATCCTTCGAGAAGAGCGCAACTATATCCTGGGCATGGTAAAGAAGATTAAAGCCTCAGGATGCAATGTGCTTCTTATCCAGAAGAGTATCCTTAGAGATGCTGTCACTGATCTTTCACTGCATTACCTTGCGAAGGCCAAGATTCTGGTGGTGAAGGATGTCGAGAGGGATGAAATTGAATTCATAACAAAGACTCTCAACTGTCTCCCAATTGCTAACATAGAGCACTTTCGTGAGGAGAAGCTGGGTCATGCTGATTTAGTGGAAGAGGTTTTAATTGGTGATGGAAGTAAGATAATTAAGATTACAGGCATCAAGGATGTGGGAAGGACTACTACTGTGCTTGTGCGGGGTTCAAACCAGTTGATGATCGATGAGGCAGAAAGGAGTCTTCACGATGCACTTTGTGTGGTGAGGTATGGTGCCCTGAATCTTCTTTTGTATATTGCCTCCTTTAGATTATTTTGGTTTCAAAGCTATTGCAAAAATAACATCTTATTTATTAAATAAGTTATAGCTGGTGTTTTGAACTTCTCTTTTTTTTTTTGGAAATGTTCATTGTAACGGATGAGTGCATGGGGGTAATGATTGTTAGCGTTAGCTTTGATTTGTACTTTTGTATCGAGATTTGTATTTTGTCCTCGTGGATTAAGCAATATTAATAAACCAAAGCTTCTGTTTAAGCTTGCGTAGTAGATATAATGGGGTGTTGCTACAGTTTCAGCTCTGATGCAAGCCATGCGTTTGAACATTTCATGTTTCTTTACTCTTTACATATCTGTTAAACTGATTTGTTACACTTCAGTTGCCAGTCTATTTTATGGATGCAGACAACTCAAAATGTTAATTGAGGAGCCTTCTTTTCTTGATGTAATCTTAGCATTAATACATGGCCTGCTGGAGTTCTAAAGATTAATAGAGGTCCTATTTTATGAAGATTGTGTTTGATATGATGGTAATTGATTCTTTTCATTGAAATGGACAAATTTTGATGCCTTATGTGTGGACAAATCTTATATTTCATTTCAACTTCTAAAAGCCCATTTTTCCTCATTAATTTTTTTTTCAGGCATTATTATTTTGAATCAAATTAGAGCGGATCTTGAGAAATAACTAGGCTTCCCACTATGATCTAGATGTTATTGGTTCGAAAAACTACAAAAACAACAAAAAATGCAACAACAATATCAAGGGGGTCGGCTACATGAATCATTTTTCTCCATTGTCCTATTAAGAGTCAAATTCTCATTTAAATCTAATAATGAAAGGTCATTTTCAATATTTTTAACCTAGTTTTTTTAGGTCTACCTTTATATTTCTTAACATAAGTTAAATCTAATACATTTATTTCCCTAATAGGGTCATTGAAAGGCCGCCATTTTATGTGACCAAACCATCTAAGGAGACTCTCTCTAATCTTATCTTCCATTGGAGCTACTCTAACATTTTCACGTATATGCTCATTTCGTATCCTGTATCTAAAAGAGTAAAGCCACTCATCTATCTGAGCAACCTAATCTCTGCAACACTTAATTTAATATTATGCTTCTCTTTTAATGGCCAATATTCTGCACCATAAATTTTTTTGCAGATCTCTCCACCATCTTATAGAATTTTCCCTTAAATTTATGAGGGACTTTTCTATCACACAACAAGTCCAATGCATTCCTCCACTTCAACCATCCAACTTGAATTCTACTAATAATATCTCCATCTATTTCACCATTACTCTGAACAATAGACTCATCTACCTGAGCATTCCTCCACTGTGCCAATCTTGTCCAAAATCTCGTAAGGGCCGAAATACCTTGGTGCTAATTTCTCATTCCTCCTAGCCACTTTCTTTTGCCTGTAGGGCCGTAGTTTTAGGTATACCTTCTCTCCCACTTCAAACTGCATGTTCCTCCTATGTGAATTCGTCTGTCTCTTCATAATTTGTTGTGCCCTCAGAAGATGTGCCTTCAACTTTTCCAATACTTCTTCCCTTTCCTCCAGATAATGCTCGACTGATGAGACAGGTGTACTTTCTCTTCCATATTGCACTAGGTGTGGGGGGTCTCTCCCATACAACACTTTGAACGGGGTCATCTGAGAAGCAGAATTGTACGATGTATTGTACCAGTACTCACTTTGCCCACATCCGTGGGGTTTCAAAAATGAAACACTGCAAATAGGTCTCCAAACTCTGATTCATCACCTCTGTTTGCCCATCTATCTGTGGGTTGTAGGCGGTGCTTCTCTTAAGGACAGTGCCCTGCATCCTGAACAGCTCCCTCCAAAACTGGCTGAGGAACACTTTGTCTCGATCAGACACAATCGATTCAGGAATCCCATGTAGTCTCACAACCTCCTTGATAAATGCTGATGCAACGGACACTGCGGTGTAAGGATGTCGTAAGAGGATGAAGTGTGCATATTTACTAAGTCTTTCAACCACCACCATGATGACCGTGAAACCTTCTGATCTTGGTAAGCCGTCCATGAAATTCATGGACACTTCCTCCCAAACTCTGTTTGGAAGTGTCAATGGTTGTAGTAATCCTCCTGGAGCCATGATCATGTATTTGTTTCTTTGGCACACCTCACACCTCGCCACCATCTCTTTAACATCTTTATGCATTCCCTTCAAGTAGAGCTCCGCTGCCAGCCTCCTGTATGTCTTCTGAACTCTTGAATGACCTTCAACTGCGCTGTCATGAAACTCCTGCAACAAGTGAGGAATATGTATGTAGGTCCGTGGCATCATAAACCTCCCTTGATACAATAGTCTCTCCCCCTCAATGCATTAATCAGGATGGCTACTCTTGTCTTTCCTCAAATCTTCCCTGATCTTTCTCAATTCCTCATTCAGTATGCTTTCTTCCCGATGGCCCCCTAGTCGACCATCAACGGTATAGACACAGCCAACTCCTGGAGCTCCCTCACACACCGGGACAAAGCGTCAGCTGCTTTATTTTCCAAGTCTGACTTGTAATGAATATTGAAATTATAGCCCAATAGTTTGGATAGCCATAGCTGATGCTCCTCAGTTACCATTCTTTGCTACAAGAGGTACTTTAAGCTCCTCTAATCAGTCTGAACGATGAAGTGTCGACCCAAAAGATAGGTGCGCCACTTATGAATAGCCAAAACAATGGCCATCAGCTCCCTTTCGTACAATGACTTTTGTCTTTCCCTGGTTGATTGCACTTGACTCAAGTATGCTATATGCTTGTGATTTTGCATCAACTCTGCCCCAACCCATATCCTGATGCATCGGTCTATACTACAAAGACATGGCTAAAGTCTGGAAGAGCTAGAATATGAACAATGGTCATGGCTTCTGGATAGCCATCGCTGATGCTCCTCAGTTACCATTCTTTGCTACAAGAGTTACTTTAAGCTCCTCTAATCAGTCTGAACGATGAAGTGTCGACCCAAAAGATAGGTGCGCCACTTATGAATAGCCAAAACAATGGCCATCAGCTTCCTTTCGTACAATGACTTTAGTCTTTCCCTAGTTGATTGCACTTGACTCAAGTATGCTATATGCTTGTGGTTTTGCATCAACACTGCCCCAACCCATATCCTGATGCATCGGTCTATACTACAAAGACATGGCTAAAGTCTGGAAGAGCTAGAACATGAACAGTGGTCATGGCTTCTTTTAGCCTCTCGAAGGTCTGGGTCACTGCCTCTCCCCATGAAAAATTATCTTTCTTCAATTGCTCATTCAAAGGCCATGCAATGGTACTGTACCCCTTCACAAATTTTCTATAATAGTCAGTCAATCCTAGGAAACCCCTCAACTCCCTTATGTTCTTAGTAATAGCCATCTCTGCATTGCATCAATTTTAGTTTGATCTGCCGCCACTCCTTGGGATACCACATGTCCCAAGTACTCCACACTTGCTTGAGCAAAGCTGTACTTCTTCATGTTAGCTTTCAGTTGATGCTCCTAAAACACTTCTAAGACCACTCTCAAATGTTCCAAGTGCTCCTCCATGGTCTTGCTGTACACCAGAATGTCATCAAAGAAGACCAGGACAAATTTCTTGAGGTGCTGCTTGATTACCCTGTTCATCAAAGGCTGAAAAGTTGCAGGAGCGTTAATCAATCCAAATGGCATTACCATAAATTCATAATGCCCCTTATGTGTCCTGAAGACTGTCTTTGGAACATCTGCCTCCTTCATTCTGATCTGGTGGTATCTGGATTTTAAGTCCAACTTGGAAAACATCACTGCCCCATATAGCTCATCCAAAAACTCATCAATCATCGGAATTGGGAATTTGTCTGGTATAGTACCCTTATTCAGAGCCCTGTAATCCACACAGAATCTCCAACTTTCATCATTCTTCTTGATCAGGAGAACTGGACTAGAGAAAGGGCTAATGCTGGGTTTGATGATCCCCGCATCCAGCATTTCTCGGATCAACTTCTCAATCTTATCTTTCTAAATATGTGGGTAACAGTAAGGGCGGAAGCTGATCGGTGTCTCCCCTTCTTTCAAAGTAATGGCTTGCTCCAACTCCCTCTGAGGAGGTAAACCCTGGAGAGGTTGAAAAACCTCGCTGAACTGGTCTATGAGCGGCTGCACTGAATATGGGACATTGCCTTTTTCCTCTAGTCTGACCCCTTCCAGGAGGTGCAACTCCACTAAGTAGCCTCCTCCCTCCTCCTGAATGGTTCTGATTAGGGATTTGAGAGAAACCCCACTCTTGGTCAGCCTAGCATCACCCTGAGTCATCCTCCTTCCCCCCATCACCAGCTCCATCCTCAGTGTATCCCAATTGATCTTGGTTTCCCTTAATGCCTGCAACCACTTCATCCCCCGAATGACGTCACTGCTCTCCAATTCCAAGGGAAGGAAGTCCTCCCTCACCTGGATCCCCTTAATCTTCAGCACCACCCCTTGACAAGCTTCTCTACCCATTCCACTTTCCCCGTGCCCATCATCACCCCATTGCCTCTGGTATCACTGACTCCATCCCCAACAGCTCAACAATCTGGTTGGAAATGAAATTGTGGGTGGCTCCATTGTCAATCAACACCACCACCCAACTGTCAGCTATCTCTCCTTTTACTTTTATAGTGTGACTCAAAGTGAATCCCACTACAGAGTTTAGAGAGACTTCTGCCATATCCAGGTGCAGCTTCTCATCCTCCTCTTCAGATCTGCTCCCACCTCCCTTCTCGTCTTCCTCGTTTTCACATACAAGGAGAACCTGAAGAGTTCGATCCTTGCACCTATGCCCCGGTATGTTCTTCTCATCACATCTGAAGTACAACCCTTTTGCCCTCTTATCCTACATCTCCTTCTCTGTTAACTGTTTGAATTGTCCCCCGTTTCCCCCTCCAGTTTTCTCCTTTGGCACTTCCTTTAGACTCCCTAGTGCTGCCCCCTTTGACGGTAAGGAAGTTTTAGTCATCCTGT